CTTACAGACGCCCGACAATAGCTGTATTTCTCGACCTGAAGGCGGCATTTGACTCCGTTGATCGAGAAGTCTTATGGCAGTGTCTGTCACTGAAAGGCGTGCCTAGTAAGTACATCACCTTATTGAAAGCTCTCTACTCGAACACTTGTGGGCATGTTAGAGCCTATGGTGAGTTGTCCAGGGAGCTATACTCATCAAGTGGTGTCCGTCAAGGATGCCCACTATCCCCATTCTTATTTAATTTTATCATAGATATTCTTATGGAGGTTTCCCTCTCGTCACCTAATTACAAAGACGTTGACCGAATCACAGGTGAATTTTCCTTAGATCTAGAATATGCAGATGACATAGTCCTGTTAGGTGAAGATGCAGAGTCTTCTGAACACTTTGAGTGGGAATTTGAGAATGTTTGGGATGCGATTTTCACCACCCAAATGCAAATTTTTGCTCCAGGACTGGTCTTCAGCGGTACCGCGGTTAACAATAGAGAGTGAAGTGGTTGAGTGTGTTGACCACTTCACTTACCTGGGAAGTAGGATCAACCTGGTGGGTTAGTTGCCGATGAGATTTCTGCACGGATACAAAAGACTCGATTGGCTTTGGTTTAAGCCGTGTAGGACGATGCAGACTAGGTGGTTGGGGTCCACGGGACAAGACGAACCAGTGGTTGGAGACCCTATGTGAAATGGCTCAGAACCGAAGTCAGTGGCGCAGATGTATACACATTATCCTCATCTTAACAACGCTATACCGAATCTCACCATTTTGTCACTCCTCTTTCCTTTCTTCTCGTACTTTATATTTCTTTTGACTGCATTCACTTATCTTCATCCTTCGCCTCACTACCTTTTTACTTGATGTGCTGATATGAGGCGTGGCAACTCGGACCGTTACGCAGTAATGCCTGGTCCCATGTTGATAATGATGATGATTTCAAAAATCGCTTTCCGAGGTTGTTTGACGGTGACAACCTTGAAATTAGTAAGAGTCTGAAGATATTCCGTTACAAAAATGATCGTCGTTATAAACGGTAGACGGAATAAACGGTGTCGGCGTCCTACGGATTCAGCCAAATACGTGCCTTACTGTTTGGAAACCGATCATAATGCTGTCTTGTGACCACCGTAAGGTCACTTCCCGCCACCGTAGCAGGCCATGTAGGACGGCTGATTTCGCGCTAAGGAATTTTTTGTTGTTTCATGAACCTTGCAGGCGAGACCGACGTTTCTATTTCATGTGTTACTCAGCTATGCTTCATTTATCATACTGGCTTCGTTGGTTGCCTGGCTGGCCTCCTGCTTTTATTGTTTGCGATGTTTCGGGACAGATCCTTTACAAAATGCATGTTTTTGCATATTCAGTTGTCGAAATGCAATTTCTCATGTTATACCAATGGGTTAATGAAAATTTACCCGCGTCACATTGTTCTTGTTGTGTTAAAGGCTGGTCAGCCGTTGAAAATCTCCTTATCCTGCCTGTTTCTCGAAGTTATTCAGCGTTAGCAGCTTTTGCCTGGTGGTTTGAGAAGTTGGTGCAGACGTTAGCACCTTCCATTGCTGCTCATTATCCTTCAGCAGGAGTTTGCTAAGAAGAGTGCTTTGCCTATTCTTTTTCATAGCTTCATGGAGTCTTAACAAGCCTCTACGAGCTGTGCCCGCCCGGCTAGCCGAATACTGAAGTTAGTGCTGATGATGTCGTTTAGAAAGACGAGTAAAGCTTCATGAATCAACAACCCGGCTCAGAGAACACAACACAACCAAGACTGTCCACCTAAGCCACAAATATTCTCCACTATTTCGAAATTATACGATGTTTTATGGGTTAGTAAGTTGTAATCTGCGGAGTGATTGGGGGGTTACGGGTTGCTGGGATGATTAGGAGACTGTTGTGACCCCTGTCTGTATAGGTATCTGAATGAGAATAGTAAAGTAGTGCCAAAGAAAGAACAGAAAGAAGAAAGAAAGGAAAGGAAAAAGAAAAACGGATGGAAAAGAAGAAAGTTCGCATTAGTTGCCCTAAAGGTAAAGGTAGATAGCGCGGGTCTATTTTCTGGGCAAGACTTAGTAAGCAATGGGGGTGTATTAAGGAGAGGGATAGCGAGCTGTGGGTAGAAAGGGAGTGAGCGTGGGCCAATAAGGTAAGTAATTCCCTGAGTGCGTCAGTCGTGGACCATGAGAAGTGACACGACTGCCCGACTGTCTCTTGAACAGGTGAAGGGGCTACGATGATATGTCGTGGTAAGGCATCCAATGAGGTAAATACTCTCAGGGAGAAAGAGTTGAGCCTAAGCGTGGTAATAGCTCTCTGATGTGCTATCCTAGTGGGGTTTCCGCATGATCACCGCTGTGTTCCAGGCGACGCTAATTTGTCTGCGTGGTTTGCCTGACGGGTGATTTTGTAGGCCATAATAAGGTCACTACTCTTCCTGGGATAACTTGGGGTGAATAGGTTTAGGTGGTTTAACCTTCTGGGATATCCCTTCCCTCTTAGCTCCACAACTGATTTTGTTGCAATTCTTTGTATTTTTTCGAGGAGATAAAGTCTCTCCTGAATGCTGGGGGCACCATATTGAAGCCTCTCGGCTCGGCTGTACTTAGGACTTTAAAATGGCGAGGAAGAGTACGAGGGTGGGCGCGACAAGCTGCCTACGCAAAAAGCGCAGGATGGTTTCGGCTCTGGTTGGCAAATCTTCGTAGTTGGAGCTGGCTTTCAAGGTATCAGGGAAGTTGAGCCTCAAATCTTTTTCCGTGAACGTGCTGGTGGTAGCGCAGTTGCTCAATATGTACCAGAAGTCGGCAGTATTTCCTTCATATTTACTGATGTGCATTACTTTTTACTTTTCCAGGTCGAAGCTCGAGCCATTTTCCGATGATCACAGCTCGAGTCGCTGCAAGTTATGTTATGGTGCTGTGCTACCCTCTAAGTTTTAATGTCGTCAGCGAAGAGGAGGGTGCATGGATATATATCAGGAACTGTCGTGATGCGAACTTGACAGACGCAGGGGCCAATCACTGATTATTCGAACTTGTTATATACTCATAAATACGAGACCAAGAAATAACACAATAGCGTAGTCGGATGGAACAGCATATTTGCGAGGTTGTGCCAAGATACCGACACGTTCCAAATAACTGACCAGAGGGTCGACTACGAGCGACGCAACGTAACAAAACAGCGTGCCAAATGGCGGAGATGCATGACCGGGTTCCCTTAGCTTGATGAGTCCGGTAAAGCTATCGAGGTCAGCATCAATGCTGAATCTCGTGAAACCCTGGGCTATTGATTTTAGAGAAGTGTGTGGCGCTGCAATATTTTGTGTAGCAGATCATTGCGAACTGGAGGAACAGAAGTGGTACCAGAGTTGCTCATTGTGGCACTTCTGACGTTGATGGTCCCTACTTCAACCTCATTCTGTTTACTCTGGTGCAGAACTTCCTTCCTTCTGACTACCGCCGGAACCAAGAGAGTAGAGGTTAACTTATTCTGGATGACATGATCTTGGGAAGCAGGACTACAGATGGAACACTGTCAAACGCTTAGGCTAGGTCGAGAAAAACAACATGTGCTGGTTTTCTGTTGTCCCAGCTGTGTTCAGTCGTACCAGGCAGATAGAAAGTTGCTGGTACGTGAGCGACCACTTCGAAATCCATGCTGAGCAGTATGGAGAGTGTTTTCTTTGTTGAGGAATTCCCAGATAGTGCCAGCTACCAGGCTTTCTCACAAATTTCGACAGTATAGGGAGTAGAGAATCCGGCCTGTTGCTCCCAGGGCTTTTTCTGCCTCCTCCGTTGAAGAGGTTGCAGATTGGTTTTACGAGCACCCCGGCGCAGTTTTTGAGGACCGTCAGTTTCAGGTTATCGCAGCCAGGAGACTTGCCTGGATGTAGCCCAGACAGTTTCTGCGGTACTTTTACTTCTGTGATTGAGATGTGGTAGAGGTATTTGTTATTTATGGTCTGGTCAGCGTCATAATGAGTCGATGTGGATTTGATGTCAGTACTAATTTGGGCTTGGAAATACTTCGAAAGCGGCCTTCGTGACCGTCGTACATCAGCTCTTTCGGGTTCATTTATTCCTAACGCCCAATATCTGGGTGAATTCTCAGCTCCTGTTTGCCAATAAGTAACTAAGAGGCTAACAGAAAACCCACTGCACCCGTTTGGCATGCTTTATTTACTTGGAGTGTTCAGAAAACACACATCTATCAAAATGTATACAGACACAATATTGTCCAGCAGCATACATACGATAATTCCACCGTGGAGAACAAATATTCAGGTGCATGCACAATCTCATTCCTCATGTGAATGAAAATACAGATAGTGGATAATTGTAGACTGCCTAACATAAGTCTACATGATCAACAAAAAGAATACATGTAACACAAAGAGGCAAATGGGGGACACATACATATATAAACATATCTAGGGATGATGATAACTTACCACCATTCACTGACCTTCCAAATACATTTTCACTGTATGATAAGCATATGTTGGGTGTTAACAGCGGAATATTTTACAGAATGCACCTGATTTACTATAAATTCACATGATGAATACATAACTTACTCAGACAAAGTTACGATACCGCAGACAACCACTACAAGTCAGCTGACAGACAATAGGCTAGTACTGATAGTGCATTGTAACGCAGTCAGATGATTAGATATGCTGCATTCAAAATTTAACCACAAATACAACACCAAATGAAGAGGTTAAGTGGAAATACTGCCAAAAAGCCCGTCTCATAGACCATCTGAACGACATATTGATCATCGATGTCAGCCACACCACATTAATTTTACGCGAGGTATTGTTTACCAGTACTCACAGTTGCGCGATATCTAATACAAAAATTGTTTCCTTGTTCGAAGTCGTTCATTAAAACACAGTTTTGTGAAATAACCGTGATAAGTTTACTATATAATAAAAAATATTTATTAATTTTGTTGAGATTCGTCTTTCAAAGCTTTAATTCGGAGAATTGCGAAAGAGTTGTGGGACATACAAAATGTCGAGGTACACTGTTGTTTGTAATGTTTTAAGTGTGCGGAAGTTATCAGAATATTTAATTCCTTCGGTGTTTTACCGACCATATTCCTCGCTTAGGCTCATGCAAAACTCTTATCTTTTTCAGTGATTGTTGTAATATATCGTTTGATCCAGTGAAGTGGAGTGAATATTTTAATATTCGCGATGACATAGAACTTGAAGGTGGAGTAAGGCTTTTTTGAGTTACTTTACTTTTCTTAGACTTTCCGTATTTATCGACGGGGTGTTGAGGGCCCCCTCCTGTTCTTCTTGCATGGTGGTGGCTTTTCTGCATTGACATGGGCTGTTCTAAGTGTAGTGATGTTCCGTTTATGTTAATCGTAATTTTCGTCCTGTTTAGGTCCTTATAACTGATCAAGTCAAGTGTCAATGCTTAGCTGTTGATATGAGAGGGCATGGCGATACGAAGTGTCTACATGACGATGACCTTTCTATCGACACACTCTCGAAGTGCGTTACTTTCGTATTTTAATTGAACTTAAGGGATATAATTAAAATAATATTTGCTATGTACCCAATGGAAGCCCCGCCAATTATTCTTGTTGGTCATAGGTAAGCAATTATTTTTCATGCTCTGGTTCGTTTCAACTGTTGCAAGTGTAAACTTAATTTTTATAAATTTTTCTAGAATTTTATGGAACAACTGCTTGTTCTTCTGAGCGCTGTGGTCTAACTGCACTGCCACATGTTTAAGACAGACACTCTGGCTCTTATATATTGATTCATCACTCCACTTAACTCACGCTTATGGAAATTCACACCACACGTGTTGCAAACGTCTTGCTTGGTTGTTAGCTTTACATAGCATTCAGCTGGATATGCAAGGCAGCCACCAACACACGTTATTAATCCTACTGTGTGATGCTGATAATGAGGGTGTTGAATCGCTCTTGTTAGCTATACATGAACTTTCAATATTTTTCGGACACATTTATCCTGTTCATGATGGTTGCTTGGTGTTTTCATGTTCGTTGTTCTACATCCTACGTCATACGTTTGCAACGTTTCGAGGTTATGGACTCATTGTAGCTTCACCCCTGAAGACAAATAGAGAAAGTGAAGAACCTATTGTAGAACCTAACGCAAGTGCATAGGTTCAAATTATTACATTTCACAGAAGTCAGCAAATATGTGAACTCCTTAAAACAGCGGAGGCTTTAGCTATTCATGGACTAAGACCTGATCTGTGTGTACAAAAGAAGTATGTGCAGTCACTGTCTTTATCATGGCCATAACATTTTCTCACTTCATTAGCTCCCCCTCCCACTTTGTTAATTTAACCTTTGTATCCTTCCTTTGTCACTTATTGTTATTATAATCGCCTTCACTTCAACTAGTTTCCGGTGTTATTTCACTTAATTGTCTTAATCCTTTTGGAAAACATTGACTTCATCTTGTCCAATTTGTCTAATGCCATTACATAATACTTAATTGATTTACCATTTTCAACAATTTTTTTCACCCCCTTCTGAGTTATATATTCTCTATGTACCACTCCATATATTACACAATCTATTTGTTATGATTCGCACTTCAATTGTTATTATAATCACAAATGCCTATGTCATCATCCGCTCTATTATTATTGTCATCACCATATAGTGTTTAGTTTTCCTCACAGGATATAATTTTTTCCGAATACCATATATATACGATTGTACAGCTTGAAAATAAATTCGTTGAAGAGTCTCTTCGCTGAATATCTTGTTCTTAATGTTACAATGGGAATTATTAAATTATTAAATATGTGAATGGAAGAGGTGATTTTAAGGCTGACAGGGTATGATTTGAGGATATAAATAAATCGAGGTTAGTGAAAATATCTAAAGCTTTGGAGGTGACAAAATGTATACATCTGTACTTTTGTGGCCAATTATAGGCCATGTTATGATGATTTCCTAACCACTGATTCCTGTGATCTCTAGGACTCCTACCACACAGTTTAAAAATCTCTTCAAGGCTCAGAACAAGAGTTGAAAAATTCTTAGGCTAGTGTCACTTCTGGAAAGTCCAAATGCAAAGCGTCCTACTAAAATCTTCAGCAACGTGGTTTTGTCACCGTGTGTGTTGCAGCGAGGGCCTGGTGAAAGATCTTTATCGAAATGAAGTTCTACCTTGCGATCAAGCAATATGGCTAATTCTTATCAGTGGTAAAGAAGTTTGGGCTCGAAAATTTTGGGAAGGGTAATGATTCGATTGCTATACAAACGGCTTGTATTAAAATATGTCCAGTTCTCTTCGGTTGGCAGCTTCTCAGCCTCAGCTAGGTGTCACATAAACATTGCGGCTACCATGCTGAAACTGCATGGTTAGAATTTGTTTTTCCGTTGCAATTTAACAAGTTTTAGAGGTTCATGCTAAATATTTCCATCACCCTGTAACTCAACAACGGTCAGAATTCATTCACATGTGTTTTGCATCCTTTCAGAGTTGATTTTATCAATTGAGACTTGTTATAGGTAGCAATAGCCGAATTCTACACTTCACTATTTTGGTCAACAGAATCAGTAATCGTTTTACGCTACCTTTAATTTGTGTGCCGATATTGACAGAAAATAGGAATCAGTATTTTGCCAACATCGAGCGTTTATTTATTTAACATAAACGTTTGTGTAGCATCATACCTCATCGCAGGTTGGTTAGAAGTGATCATTTTTAATTCCACTAACATTTTCTTAACCACCTTATTTTCTAATTTTAGCATGGGGGGAGCTGTAGCTGTACACGTGGCTTGTAAGCGAACTATCCCTTCATTGGCTGGTCTTGTTGTTATTGATGTTGTTGAAGGTAAGAAGAATCGTTTTTGATATAATGTATATTCACTTTCACAAAAAGGACTTCCTTTCAAACCTTTCATGTAAATTATTCCATCAAGATATCGTCTGTTAGTTTATGTCTTGTGTATGCAGTCAACTACGTGGTTTTATGCCATTCATGGTTCTGACAACGAAAAGAAACATGAAGAGAGAAAAGTGATCTGTTAAGCTTTAGGGAATATGATATCTAGAGTGACAATCAACTATACTTCGGGATATTGTGATTTGTTACCCTTATATTTTCTTTAGAACACAAACTAGGTACAAAACGGACACCAAAAGGTGGGACATAGATAATGATGAGGCATTGTTAAGTAGGTTGTTGAGGAAACAGTTCCAAAGATACATCCGAAGAAGCATTCATTATTATCTTTTACTTTTCAGTGATTGAAGAAAAGTGGGAAGTGGAGGACAACTGGCACTATTTTCAATTTTGTGGGGTGTCTACTATCATCTCAAGATTCTGAGTTACCTGATCTTTCGAACTCATTCCACGGAGTCGTGAGGCATCAGCGGATGCTAACTTGACACAACTACTCTTCATCCCACGATACCAGGTCATCCAATGGCTACCTCTCTGCTTTTTTCAACCAGTCGCAGGGCGAGTGAACAGTGAGCGGTGTGGAAGCTTCAGGGAAGATATGCATGACACGTCCGTGGCACGGAGGCTGGTGTTCCAAGATTGGCACACAGTGAATGACGATCGCCACTACGCCCAGACACATGATGCCTTATCTCAGAGTTACTTACCTGGTGTTTCCACCAGATACTAAAATCCTAAGACGAAAAAAGTAATCGAAAACGCGGAGTCGCTCAACACCCTCTGCTTGAGAAGGTCAGGTTTCTCAGACAAATTGTAATCGACTCACTCATTCAACTCGTAAATGAATAAATTTCAATGAATTTGAATATGGTTGCCTTTTCTTGGAGCCTGAGTATCATTATTTTTCGTAATCTTCCTACACGAAGCTTTCATTTTGAAAAGCTGTTCATTTAAGGTTTTATGATATCCTTGGTAGGTATGATAACTTTCTGAACATTGCAGTGCAGAAACACAACTATATGCATTTATTTTTAAATCTAAGAGGTATTTATTAGTATTTAAATTATTTTGAGGATTCACAAGTTTTCCTATCATTTTTAAACTATATGATGGGTCACGTTCTGCTGTGTTCCAGTTTTAATTGATATTCCTGGGGACCTTTATCAAGAAAAAGTCGACTAAATGATTGAACGGTTGCTATTTTAATTAGTGAATGTAACGGGAAGTTTCATGTTTAAGAATGAAATCATTTGCTTTGTTTTCTTTTTATAAGAATTACTTGGTTACTTAGAATGAGATAGTTTAGTTCTGTCATGTGTGATGGTTTTCTGAGAGTTAGCAGCTTGACGTTTTACCATTTCCCGAGGAGTTTGAACTGTATTTCTCCTTATACTTGGGCAGTTAGTATCAGCTAGTATCCTTAGGCGATCTGTCTCCTAGCTATATTACGCAATACTTATATAATTGCCTCTTAAATCCAGCGATCCGCTTGCCGATTTGCTCTTGTTACTTATAGGAGTCAGAAGTTCTTAAACATATGTGTATTCTGAGACCTAACAGCTAGTGAACCTATAGTATAAGATATATCACAGTATTTTTAGTTTACTTTTGCTGTTTGAAATTTTCCTGTTGCATCATGAAACTTCATTTTCCTGCGTTTTCTAGGTACTGCTTTAAGCTCACTGCGAAGTATGACAGCTTTCCTACGCAGTCGTCCTCAGAATTTTCGTTCTTTGCCTCAAGCAATTGAGTGGAGGTAAGTCGAGAACCGTATTGCGATTGATTAACGCTTGTTATAACCAATTAAAATAGCTTTTCTGATGCCATGGTATCCCTTTTGTGTTTTCCAATCCCAAAAATACATTTTCTAATCGCCTGTGTTTTAGAAAGAAATACATTACCATGTAAATATGTCCTATCCATTATTGTATGCAACAGATGCTGCACGTTAGGCTGTTTTTTATATCCCAGTAATAATACAGTATGCCTGCTTATGTTTTAATGTTTTACTATACATAAATTACTGTCACCAGAGTACCAAGGATGTGCGTTTGCTGAGATGAGCAAGGGATTTGAATGTAAACGATATCACGAAAAACTCCTAGAGCCATAATTTGCACTTGGTTGGTGAGAAACTTATTCCAAACATTAATTTATTGTCACTCAAGGTTTCCGGAAGACTGGGTCCTGTCTCTGTCTTCATCTAACAGGACTACTTCGTCTGAGCAGTATAGGTTAACTAAAGAGTTTCCTGCCATGTGATCAATCCTTTTAAAACAAGACTAGGAGATAGACCCCCATGTACACGTCTACGACAAAGTTAAATAAAAGTCGAGAGAGTGCAAAACCCTGATGAACACCACTAGAATCACAAAACTCACTTCATTCCCTCCTTAGACTGTGACGTGACCATGGGTGTTCAAGTACAAACCGTTTAGTAGTGTACTTATCCGAGCTTTTTTTCAGTAAGAACTATTGCCACGAGATATCTCAATCGCTGTACTTGAATCGGTCAAGAAATGAAACGGGTGTTGGGCACCGGTAGTTCTGGCTGGTGGAGTGTAATTACCTGGTTGATACACCCACGACCACATCTGGAACCTGCCTGGTTTTTTGGGTTTGCTGTTACCAAGCTTCATTAAGGCGTCTAGTGGACATGCACCTTCGTATCGTAGACACTGTCCGTTGGGCTAATTACCCTATGGTTATCACAAGACTTCTCTCCTCTTTCGAAGACTTTGGTAATCAGCAGTTAAGGTCATATGCAGAAGATCGTATCGAGTTTTTAGATGCCAGCTAACACTCGTTGGTCTAACCAATAACTGTCATCCACTGTGCTCAAATATCTCAGGTGCAAACCTTTCTGACCTAACACCCTGTTCCATTTCAGGTTATTTACGACCTTCACAACATATAAAGGGGTTGGAGCCTATTTCTTGATGTTCCATTCAAACTATAACTGGTTACTGGAAAACCAAATAGTAGCTGGTGGCTATTTGAACTATCCCTTCAAGTACTCTGCACATCGATCCAGTTATTTTCCTTGCGAGTGCATCAAAAATCCGCTTTTGTACGCTAGATTTAATAACTACTGACATCTCTTCAGTTTCACTGATTTGTAATAAGCTAACTACTCTTAGCCCTAGTTGTTGCATTTCCCATCTTAGCTGTCGAAAAACGTCCCGAAGATTTCACGATTTCAATTTCCATGAGCTTGAGTTTCTTCAAAGGCGTGATTTATTTTGCTTGCCACTTTCATGACCTCTTGTATGTACAGTCAATCCTTGTTGCTCCATCACTGGTGCTTTGTTTAACAATGGAGAGGGAGAGTTGCGTGCGTTAACCACCTTACTTATCTGGGATTTCGGATCAGCCCTGCATAAATACGAAAAGCTCGCTTGGCTTTCACCAAGTTACATCATTCATAGAACCACTGTGATATTCAATTACCTATTATATTATTGTTTGAGTGTATAGTGCTGGATTTTACTCTGTTCTACTATATGGATGTGAAACGTGGCCGTTAAAGGTCGAGGATATGAGAATGCTTTAGGTGTCCGGTCATCTTTGTCTTCGTAAAATGGACCATGGTTCATGGTGTCACCACGTCTGTAACGTAGAAGTCAGGCGTAGAATTCTGGGGAGAAGAGGAATATCAGTTGTTGAAGTTGTGAACCATCATCGACTGAGGTGGTCGAGACATGTGTTACGCATATCTAGTCACTATCTGCCCATCAGCACCTTGTTAGCTGAAGAAAGGTTAGAGGTGCCCAGACTAAAACCTGGCATCAATTACTGGTGTCTTTGTTTGTTGGTCTGAGCTGCTAAGGTAAATGTCAACTTCGCGGTTAGGGTCGGCGTGACAAGGAAAGTGGCTAGAGACTTTAGCTGATATGGCATAGAATCAATCTCATTGACACCCATAAATCTACGCATTATTCTCATAATCGTCATACTAAAATTCAGTGTTTTCTCACTCCTCTATGTTATCTTATCACTACTTTCTACCACTTTGACTTCTCTCTATTTCCTTATCTTTTACCTTAGTGCTTTCTGTAATCGAACCTTCTTGTCTAATAGGAGACAAAAGATCTTTAATGGGAACCCAATCGGGTTTCCAAACTGCCGAATAGAAGATTTATTTGAATTTTATTTGCAGGTCTTTTTGATGATAAGGTTGCATGAAGTCTTTTTCTGTTTCGGTAAAAATACCGACATTTAAAGTTAAACAACTCACATGACTTCAGAATAGTTGGGTCACATATCAAATTGGAAGGAAGCTTAGCGAAAACAACTATTAATTGACTTTAGATGGCACAGGTAGATCGATGATTCAAACAACTGATAGCAGCTAGGTAAAATGAAGATAGAAAGAAAATATTAGGGATACTGTCTTTATGGCGAAATAGTGATATAATTATGAATTGAAAATCATGTTTTGAATATGGCTGACTTTATTGATGATAAGTAGGTCGACTGACTTATTGATAAAATCAACGTGGAACCTCCTACATATGTGCGTCCACTGGAGCTACAACACTTCACAGAAGTACACATTGAAAAGGTTGATAGGAAAAGAGTGATATCAAAGTAGATAAATTAGTATGAGATAATAAGCAATCTGAGGATAAAGGTTAGTACCACCGGTATTCAAGCTTTCGAAGATGTCAAGGAGTGAATACATCTGCACCATTTTGACCAATTATTTCCAGAGATGCCACCAAGAGTCAGTGACCCTAACCAAGTAGTATACAACTCTCCTCATGGCTTAGGACAGCTTCATGTCTTCTCCTTTTAAATGGCCATGTCTCGCAACCGTATGACAAAACGGAATGCAGCGCAGTATACTTGTCCTCCTTTGATAGGTAGTCGGATATCTTGCCGGGGCCAAGCTGATACAAGTTGGCAAATGCCGAAGGGGCCTTCTGTATCCGAACTGAGACTTCCTCAGCAACCAGCCCGTTAGGGCCGATGCAACTCCCCAAGTAAAGTGGTCGACACGTTCCACCGCTTCACTTCCTATCATTAAACTGGAATCGGTCGTACACCAGTCCTGGAGCATCATATTACATTTGAAAGGTGCGAAATGCATGTCAGTCAAACATACCCATATTTGTGCTCCAAGCATTCAAAAGATGCCACATTTTGTGATTATCTTCGCCCAGCAGGACAATATTGTCTGCATACTCCAAGTCAACTAGAGGACTTTCAGGGAGTAGGTCAATCCAGTGGTACCTCTGTAACAAAGCCAAGTAGAAACAGTGACAGTCGGCATCCCTGGTGGACACCACTACTTGTCCTCATTTCATTTCACACGACAACTTTCCATAGGCCCTGACACGACTGCATGAGTTTGAGTAGAGAGTTTTGACTAGCGTTACCTACTTTCTCATCACCGTCAGACACTGCCACAACACCTCATGGCCGACAGAGTCGAATGCCGTCTTTAGGTCATGAAATATGGCAAGTGTCAGTCATTGGTTGGTAGGTATGCCTATGTTCTAGAACCTGTCTTAGGGTGAAAGTGTGATCGATGCAACCCTGTCCAGATCTGAAATCCACCTCTTCCTCTCAAGCTCCAGTTAGGTGTCAGATAACTGCGGACCCTAGGATCTTCGATACAAAGTTGGTCTAACTAATTGTCACAAGAAGATTTCTCTCCCTTCTTATAGACTGGAATGATCAGTGAAGTACACCAGTCTGACAGCACTATCTCTGATTCCCACACACTACCTAGTACCTACGTCACTCTAGTCACCGATTTCTTACCTCGATCCTTAAAAACTTCGAGTGGCAAACTGTCAGGTCCTGCTGACTTGTATAGTTTCAGTTTCGATACAGTTTTCCAACTTTAAGGAGAGAGGTGGAGGACCGACACCTACGTTCCATTCAGATTCAGGCTGGATGTTGGGCAACTGAAGCGTTGTTGAGGGTCAGTTGAAGTGTGCTTCAATGTGTTCTGCCCAATGTCCTAGCTGCCTGTCCTAGGAGGTTATCAGTGTCTCATTCTTTTCGGTGATGGTTTCACTGACCATCGTATTTTTCTTGCCGGTATCCTTAATAAGCCTGAGTAGTTACCGAGTGTTACTCACTGCTGATGCTATCTCCATCTCTTTAGCTTTCGCCGCCCACCACTGCTGGCAGTCGATGCCTAGACTCGGTCAACTTACGGATACTCTTAAGGTGGATTTTAAGGATTCACTACTATGACAGGTCGAGGTCAATTTAATAACCTGTATACGTGTCTTGGAGAGACAGCATATATCCATGTCTAGAAATTTCAGAGTTATGGCAAGCGATACTTGCTATCCAATGTGGTATAGAGTTCGGAGGTTGAAGACTCCTATATGAAATCGATGGTGGGCAGGGTCTTTGAAGACTGGGAATGAGATTTTATTGGCTTTCATCGTTCGCAGTGGTTGCAGAGGAGAAGTTGGGTAAGTCGTAAGAGGCCTAATAGTGTCAGGAGGTGAAGGCGAATGAGGAAACAGTTAAAGTATTTAAGTCTTGGTTGCTTTGGCTTATGTCATCGTCTGTAATAAGGCTGAGATTCTTTCCAGGTATTCCGACTGAAGCAGAATACTTCCTCAGATGTCATTCCCTAGGTCATTGACTTATATACTAGTCTCCAAGGCAGTGAAGGAGGGTTAGAGGTTACATTTTTAATGGTTTCCAGCATCCTGAGTAGTTTCAAATATTATTCGTCCCTACTAGATTGTTTGTTTGACATAGTGCCCAGTGACACAGTATAGTTACATAGTAAATTATACTGTCACTGTGTGCTATATTAAATAAACAATCCTACATGGAATCATACTGTACCACAATGCCCAAGTTTTTCTCTTACGTTATCCGTCTTTTTGTTATCCTGCGGCCTCCTCACTGCTCTGAACAGGAATTCTGTACCCAGCTACCCTGCACCAAATACTTACTTTCACTGTTTCACATTGAAAAAGTCCCACCACGTGGAGGAAACGAAGTATAACTTTCTTGACACTGAACACAGCCGTATCAATTAGCATAACTGATCTTAAACACTCCTTCGATCAGATAATGGTTTCCTTTATGCAGTAGGTTTCCTACGTAACTATTTAATCAGTTATGGTTTTCACCCTATTTAAATGTGACAGAAATCTTTGATTATTTTTTTCCAAAAATGCCCTCAAAATGGTTTATTATATACTTTCAAGTGTTCGAAGCCTGCAAATTCGTAACGTAAATTCAGCTCGGGTATCTTTTCCCGGCCAACTGAAGCGCATTACAAGTGGTCAAACTGCTACAAGTGAATTGGATGAAGGAATCGCATTTATTTCTGAAAATGTTACTTGTGTACCATTAAATACAATGACAGATGGCAGAGTTTCTTCTGTTAATCGACTCTCAAGTCAACCATTGTTTGAAGATTCAGAAGCAAATGAAGTCGACTGTAATGAGTTAGAAGTTGATATCGCCGATGCACAAGATCAATCTCAATTTAATCATAATCCGTCTGAGGTGAGTTATCGTAACTGCTTCTTCTTCTGCTAACTTAATCCTGTTATAAACTGTGTAGTATGGTTTTGTTCTAAAATGCACTTGTATTAAAGGGTTTATTATGTACATATATCTCTTTGACTTGGTAGATATCTAAGCGGCTGGCGAGTTTCATCTCCAGGTGACTAAGTGAGTATTCTCTCTATCAGTTTTCTTTCTTGAGTGCGAATACTCCAATACTGCTTATTTTCTAGAAAACAGCCAGTGACTTCACACTTTAATACTACCAGAAGAAAGATAAAATCATCAAACCGATTTTCTTTTACTGTTTCCCATCGAGTTCGTGATAAACTTACCCAAGTTTGGAGTAAGAATAATATCGTACTACTGATGGTTTAATAGCCAGGCACTTGAGTGGAACCCAGATGGGAAACGGCGAGTTGGGCGTCCGAGGGTGACATGGAGGAGATCGTGTGAGGAAGAAATGAGAGCTTCTGGGCAGTCGTGGAGCCAATTTCAAAAAATTGCAGAGAACAGAGTGGAATGGAGACGTGCTACTGAAGCCCTATGTTCCACTAGGAACCCAAGGGACAAATAATAATAATAACAATATGATAATAATAATAATGGTTAAATAAATTACGGTTACCATATTTTACTATACTTAATTTCCATGTAATTAGTTTCAGTTATTAGTATTCTGTATTGGGAGTTATAGACTGAGTGAGTAGCTAGGTTCACCACATTGTATCCAGAGTGTAGGACAAAGAAATATTCACTAAGCAAGACGTGAGTCATTCTGTTGAAAGATGAATTCAGTAGATCGACGTCCATTTTGATTTTCAAATAAAAGGAGTGATTAACTGTTCGTTCTTGTGATATGATCCGAATGTAACTCTCTCAGGTTTGTCTACTAGCAAACTCAGTAATGTATCTACAGCAAATCCTAACCGATTTTAGATTATTGACGTTTTATTTCTGCGTAGATGTATGCAATCAATATGATCTGATTATCTGTAGTATATTATCATATGTATATAACAAAGTAGCGTGTCCAATCATTTTCTATGCCACATATTTCTTGTGCATTACCTACTACTTGTCAAACGCTGAGGCTAGGCATTCTGCTTCTCGCATTTGTTTGTGTAGCTTACCAAACTCCAAAGTGTTAAGGATAATTTACAGTATGATACAAAAGATACTTCCTTGATCGCATCGTCTGCTGTGGAATTCCTACATCGAACGAATAATATTATGATCTCTTCTCCTCCTTCTCTGTCTGCCATTTCACATTCTAATTCAATGTTATCTCAGTCAAGTCGTCCACAGTATACTTGGCGCATAGATTTAATGAAAACCCAGCCTTTCTGGCAAGAATGGTTTTCTGGTTTGTCGAAATTGTTTCTTTCAATACCTGAACCAAAACTGCTTTTGTTGGCTGATGCTGATCGATTGGATAAAGACCTTATGATTGGACAAATGCAAGGTATATTGTGTTCGTTTCTGTCGTTTTGGTACTTTTTCTTTTCCATGATTTATTTTGATACTTTATTCATTTTTATCAATTTTCTTTCTAGTTATTTTGAAGTTTAGTGATTATTACTGATTTTTGTGCAGTTAAGTGTGAATTAATATATACAGTCATAGAAATTTTCTGTAACGATACCTACTTAGGGCATATTTCGCGTTATGTGTACTCACCTACTTTTAAATGATAGTATATTTTCAGTACTATGAGGGCACGTAGATTGTACTGTATATCCTTCTTGATTTTTCACCCTGTAGTTGGTTATCGAGACTTCGACTCTCCTGGTAATTGGAAGTACAACCTTAAGTAAATACTATTTGTTTGTTGAATGAATGTCACATTCTATGAAATTAGTGTCATATATTGTTTCTCACTCCATTCAACCTCAAGTTACACACCGAAACTCGGTTCTGCCACTTTGTGTTGAGTGATTGTGAGTTTTATTTTTCGTTTCTAATCCAAATCAGAGCTAAGTAACAAAATGTTTCAGTACTTTGTGCACGTGTTCGGCATAAAGTACATTTATCATCCCTTTCATAAATACTTCTGGTTTTCCACTACATTTTATCTCAACTTATGTGCAAGTAGTTTTTGACGTCACCTGTTATGTAAAGTTTCAGATCTGCACTTTCATCTTAGCTATAACTACTTTCAAGGTAGTAAATACTTTTTGTTTTTCTCTAAGGTAAATTTCAAGTCCAACTGTTCCCTCGCGCTGGACATGCTGTTCAAGAGGATGCACCAGATAAGGTGAGTTTATTCGTTTTTTCTTCGAAGAAAGGCATTTTTAGTTCTTTGTTGTGAATTTTTCGATGGTATTTCGCTAAAGCGTTGTCCACAATGCACATCATTAAGGGTTTAAGCACTTTATTGTCAAGGTTCCTATTTTAAATTTATATTTGAATGAAATATGTATTCCGTGAAAAAGTTTCCTTATGCAAGTATTTGTAAATTAGTTTTTCTGGTCACACTGCCTATGGTTCTTTGAATTGTTCGTGTGTAGTCACTTGAAGCATATCTTACAATGAACACATTTGACTATTTTTGAGCCTGGAGATATATTGAGAGTGGTGTCATAACATTGTGTTAATCATTTGCAGGACTTTTAAAATTCGAAGGTCACCATGCCTTGGGTTGAAAGTGGTATCGTATTCCGGTCCAGCAGAACCAATAACGTTTTCAATGCTTTTGTGACTTCATGCAACAGTTTTTTTCTGGAAAAAAGCATGTCATCTTCAAATTAGGTTTTCTTCCAAGTGTGCGGGTATGAAATATTGTTGAAAGACTAGCTGAATCAAGAAAGCCTAGTTCGGAAATTGCTTATGTGAATTCGTCACTGTCCAAGAAAAAAATTTGTATGAATCTGCACTAGAAATCAGTTGCTTGCTATTGTAACTTGCATCTAAAGCCTTAAGGATTATATTCTTTAGTTAGTGGCTTTTTCATATTTATCAACCATGCTTATGTTCTTTACTATCTTGAAGTATGATAACTCGAACATTGTTGTGGCTGTGGTTTTCAGTTCCATCCAAACCTATAAACCCTACATAGTATGCTGGCTGTAAGATTTGAGTATCCTTGTTTCTGTCTTGGACAAAGTTGAGTTCTCGTCGCAGAGTTACGAGCTGTTAAGTGTTTCTTAGTTTTCAATATTTTACATTTGACATGCTTTTTTTGTAATGGAAGCTGTACTGTCTTTGAAATTGAACTGTCAACTAAGTATCCGCACTAGCACTAGTAATTCAGGATGACTCAGTAAGGAGGAGAGTCTCAGTTGTAATATGTATATTTCAAGCAGCCTCAAAAGTCCAGTCGAACAGTTCAGAAGTTATTCAGTCAAACAGATCTACACGATAATGAGCGCCTATTTTTACAGTGGAGCTGTGGCTCATTGTTTTAGGGAGACAACTATAAACCAATAAGTCACGAGTTCGAACCCGGCTGCACCTACTGAGGTTTGAGAAGCCACATAGTATCACCAGCCCCCACATAACAGGTGTGGCTCATCATCTACTGCACGGATGTGTATGAGATTACTGAGTGCACGTTTAAAAAAATCTATATTTACAATGGCACAGTCACGGTAGCATAGATGTAAGAGTAAAACTTAGGCACTATAGTAGAGTGTAATTCCATATTGGATTCTTTATTTGATGCAGCACACAGTGATACAGTATTATTTACTGGGTGACGTTTTGAACAGAATTTATTGATAATATGCTTATGAGGAATGAATGGAACAGGAATAAGAGATGAGAATATCATTAAACAGGCAAACACTTTTCATGGCTTGCTTAGACATCATTCATTGAATAATATGTATGTAAACATCTATCTGAATCGTCACAAATCATCACAAAGTTTCTGGGAATTACAAATTTTCTGTTTTGATTAAAACTTCCTGTATTGTGAAATCATTGCTCACAGTATAATCTGAACCCTAGTCAGTAACTGAATAATCCTTGAATACACATGTCTATTTGAAAAAGAATGTTTTGTATTGTGACCTAAGCGATAGATAGTGATATTTAAGCTGAGTTTCTTTTTAAATCAGTTGGATTCGATGTCTCACAAAAAAATTTTAAACTGTATTTAGGTTGCTGAATGCTTGGCCAGATTTCTAGTACGCAACCGATTTACTGAAGGTCGTTCAGATTTGTGAACAGTTAACAGGTATTTCAGTATTCTTTTTATAATAATTATGAAAAAACCAGAAGTTTTTATTCCTTATCAAAACAAATCTTGTCGTGGTATATAATATAAATTACATTTTAAGATTTACAGTTAAAAACACCTGAAATATATTTAGCAATAACTCTAGTAAGCCCATTAAACTAAATCCAATAACTTTAATTACCTATTAAAAAAATAAGTTAGTAACAAGTCATCAAATAAAAGAACTGAGAAAACCAATCTATCTTGACATTAATGATCAAAGATTAACGAATTTATCTTTAATGTCTAGTCAAAGAGTATTCTATTCTACCTGATTTCAAACATTAAAGCTAATCTAGAGACAATATTTATTCCATTGACTGAATACCCCCAACATATATGAAGCTTATTTCCTTGAATTCTCGAAGTTTATAAAATAACCACTCCGTATGCAGTTTGTTTCTGACTTAAAACACCTACATTTTATGCTGCCAACTGTTGTTCGGTTAGTGATTTGAAACATCCTGGCTGGAATCGTTTTGGTCTCTTAATTTATACTCTTATCACTTATGTAAGTATCCTTTTCTTGTCTTTATTATATTTCCTCTTTTAGATGGAATCATGTGGTTTTAACCTGGATTGATACAGTGATTCCTCATTCTTTACATTTTTTCCTGTGCTACGTACCTTAAGTGAAATACATTTTCAAACATCTAAGATATTGAATTTGATGAGATTACATCTGTATACCACACGAATGTGTTTGTTGAAAAAGAATTTAACCTATTTCGTCTTTCTTCTTGGGTTTTTCAGTCTAATTGATCTGATGAAACAGTTTATTTGGTTTTATTTAGTCGGGATCAATACTTACATTTACTCACATACAATCTATACTTGTAACTTTGAGTCACGTCTGTTAGTTACAACTTATTAGGTTTAAAATGTGTTGTATGAAACCATCCAGAATATATAAAGTATATTCAATCACTTCCATTCTGATAGACAGTAGTTACCTTTCAGTCTTATTACCTCAATTTGCACATTGAATAGGTCAGGTTTAGTGTACATATGTATAATAATGTTACAGCCTACCGTGTTTGTTTTTAAGCATTTCGGTATTTTAGAGGATAAGCGATGTCATCTTACATCTAATTAAGGTAGTTAAATTAACCAATTAAACGAGATATTGCGTAACAAACAGTTTCGAGCATTTTCAAGTTTCGATTGTTTCTAATGTTTCCCAATACTTTCACGTGGTATAGCAGCATATCATTTAGCCTAATGCCTTCCAGACTGATATAGGTGGGGTGTATCTGTAGTGCATGAATTCATTCAAATTTGCACAGACCGAATTGCATGAATGTTCGCCCTAGTTTCTTTGAACCACCATGTTGTGTTTTTATATAAATTATTCACTAGTTTTCCACACTAGTTTAGAAGACATAATTTCATAAAGAAACTTCTTGGAATCTTTTGTGTTTTATAAAGTTGTTTCTTATTTCTTACTGTTATTCCCGAATTAACTTCAGCTCATGTGCTTGTCCTATTCACTCTGACGTCTTCTAAAGTTCGAACGTTTCTACTAAGCTTCATTTTTAGAAATTATTTTCTTCGCATTCACTGTTCTCTACCTTAATTTCACTCTGTTTCTGTCCACTTGTTCTTTGCATGTTGATGTGAGGAGAAAAGTGTGGGCCACTGGATTCCGATCTAGTGTCTCAACAGTGACGTGCTCACCACGAAACCTGTAGGTCCTGGTTTTGACTCCTTGTAGGATCGTAACTGCGCACTGCTAAGAAGTCTCATACGAGGTTAAACCAACGTTCCAGTGCCCCCATGTCCTCACTTGTTCTCCGATTGATGTCAATCCGAGATAAATACCATCTTAAAGTTATTCACTTTGCTCGACGTTGCACACCTGTTTTGGGCCTTATTGTGTTTGGAAATTAGTGTGTACTACTGCACATGCTTTTGATTTTACTAGAAAGCAACATCTCCCAAAAAACAAAACTGTACAAGAATTCTTAGAAGGATCGGACTCCAACCAAATGGCAGTCAATAGGCTCGTGGACATTGACCCACTACTCTACTGATAGGAGAAGTGATCAGCCAACTGTGAATCAATCAATCAAACATTAGGTCAGCAGCGTAGATTTAATGTTCACTATGGGTTAGCTAGTTAACTAGTTACTAGCCGGTCCTAAGCCGGGGTAACGAGGGGAGGTTGGATATAGGGCTAGCCACCCTACCCCGTAAAACCAATCCAATCGCTAAAGAAACTTCAAAGCACGAAGAAAATATAAAACATGAAAACAAACTTATTTCTCGTTTGAATCGGAGAGACGAAATGACACCGGTTAGTGAAAGTCTTCGGGAAGCCAGTCGGCCGATGTGTTTTTTCTCGATGAAAGCGAAAGTAAGAATGGGGACATGGGATGTCCGAACAATGTTTGAACCTACCAAGGCTGCCCAGATTGCGAAAGAGATGCGAAGGTATGGCACGGAAGTGCGAGGAATATGCAGATGGAATGCGAGTGGACTCTCCAAACTGTCAACTGGAGAGTCAATAATCTAATCTACTCCGATATTGTCACCCTGACGACGACCACGAGCACACTGAGTTTTCCAGTGACTATCATGATGTTCCCCACTCGAGAGCATAGAAGGCTCTCTCTCATGCAGTGGGAACCAATCTTCTCCTGCAGGATCAGGATCATAACAGCAAGGTCCAACTCAAAAGGCAGGAAAGTCACAATCACACAATGCTACGCTACGCTACGCTACACACCTACAAATAATTAAGCAGATCAAGAGAAGAATGAGGAATTCTACAGACAACTGCAGTCAACAATGGACACAAGCCCTCCCCAGTTGGCCACATCAAAATTCTAATGAGTGGGTTGACATGAATGCGGAACTGGGAGCCGACAACACAGGAAGAGAAGTCATCATGGGTCGAGAGTCACTCGGTGAAATGATGAATGAGAATGGAGAACTGTTTGCAGACTTCTGCGCATTCAACGATTTGCTGATTGGAGTCAGGTAGTGTGTACAAACAAACACAAGCACATTCACAAGGCAGCGACATCGATTCGATCTCACCATTCACCAGATGGACACACTACACTAGAAATGAGATCGACTTAATCTCAATGTGGAGAAAGTGGAGACGCAGTCTACTGGACACAGGATCAAATCAAGAAGAGGAGCAGATGTGGGTTGACAACACTTACTCTCTAGTGAGAGGAACCTACCTTGAAAATCAATCAAGTTGAAAGCCTTCAAAGAAGCTGGTGATGATAGACCAGAGTTGAAGTTCAATACCCAGAACAGAGACTGGACTGAAGGACGAAACTACAAAGGACATCTTCACATCAGCCAGCCATGAAGACAAAATGAGAGATATCGAGCAACATCTCTGAAGAAACCTGCGTTGAAGAACATTGGAACTCTTTGAAAGCTGTGTGGAAGGAAATCTGCATGACAATGTTAGGAAGGAAGAAGAAAGAAGATAAGGAATGGATCTCGATGGACACATGAAAGCTGATAGAGGAGGGAGAGAAGGATGGTGAGGCAGAAGATGAACCACTGCAGTGCAGTGCAGGGATGAACAACGAGAAGAGGAACTGAGTACACCATGTAAAACACTTCACTGGACAAAGAATTGAAGAAGAGTGTGTGGAAAGACAAAAGACACTTGTACGACTGACTTGTAAGTGAAGCAGAACAGGCTGTAGGTAGGAGAGACAGAGACCTGACAACATTGTATCGAATAACTAGGTTACTGTCTTGGAGGAGATCAACGCAGATGAAACCAATGAAAGATATTGAAGGAAAGCTAGTTACCAAAGAGGAGAAAAGAAGGAAACGATGTGCTGACCACTTCCAAATGCTCTTGAATTGATCGCCACCTTCACTTCGTCCGGAAATATCACTAGCAACGGCAGAACTACAAGTGAACACAGGCTATCCGACAAAAGTAAAAGTCCTGAATGCCATATAACTGCTGAAAGTCGGGAAAGCAACAGGACCAGATGGAATTCCACGAGAAGCACTGAAAACAGGTGCAGAGACAACAGCGGACATGCTCACAGCACTATTGCAGAAGGTTTGAAAGGAAGGAATGCTACCTGCAGATTGGAAGAAGGGCTACCTTGTCAAACTCTCAAGTAACGGAGAGGCCGCATGCCAAGTGGTCCACAATGGGAAGCTCAGTAACGCCTTTGAAGTGAAAATAGAAGTAGGACAAGGCTGCCTACTATCACCGATGATCCTCCTGATTGTTGTGGACTGGATCATGCTGCAAACCGTGACGAGCGATAAGATGGGCATTCGCTGAAGCCTGAAAGATTTGGATTTCGTCGATAATGATTTGTGTTTAATGTCGCACAAACTCAAAGATCTACAGGCAAAAACTAACAAGTTGACAGAAGAGGCAGAGCAGCGAAGAAGGGACTTCAAGTGAGTGTACAGAAGACGGAGGTGATGAAGATACCCGACGAACAACAGCATCAACAACAAGCACCAGTCACCATGAACGGGAGAAACCTCAAGGAAGTAGTCTCTTTCACCTACCCAGGCAAGGCAGCATCGTTTAAACCACAGGCGGCATAGATGAGGATGTCAAAACCAGGATCGGAAAGGCAGGACAGGCTTTCACTAATCTGAAATGAGTGTGGAGATCTACTGTACTCAGCACGAAGAACAAGATCCGGATTTTCAACACCAATGTCAAGTCAGTGCTTCTACACGATTCAGAAACTTGGCGCGTCACGAAAAGCACTTCCAACAAACTACGGACATTCATCAACACCTGCCGCCTGTGCTCAATACTGAAGATCAGATGGCCAGAATGATAGGAATAAGCAACAAGGAACTCTGGGAACGAACCAACCAACAACCTTTCACCCAACAAATATGCAAAAGAAAGTGGAGGTCGATTGGAATGGGCATATACTGAGAAGACCATTTGGGGACATCACGCACCAGGCCAGGCCCTCGGGTGGAATCCAAAGGGG